ATGCAGATGTGGTGATGGAAAACATCATGGTCAGGGGCGCTTTAGTCCTCAAAGTGGCACCTTTGCTTTTCCTTTTCTTTTTTAAAAAATCATTTATTGGGGGCTCGTACAACTCTTATCATGATCCATCCATCCATTGTGTCAAGCACATTTGTACATTCGTTGCTATCATCATTCTCAAAACATTTGCTTGCTGCTTGAGCCCTTGGTATCAGCTCCTCATTTTCCCCCTCTCTCCCCACATTCCTCCCTCATGAACCCTTGATAATTTATGATTTTTTTTTCATGTCTTACACTGTCCGGCGCCTCTGATTACAAGGCTCTGTATAAAACCCTCTCCCTGGGGATGGACAACAGAGAAGTGGGTGAAGGGAGACCCTTGCTTTTTCAAAGACTAAGGAAACTTCTGAAGAAGTTTTGCCCAATGCAAGGTTTTGTTTGACCGTTGTTTCCCTGAGCATTGATTTTGGATCCAAGTGAAAGAAAATCCTTTGAAAGCTTCATTATTTTCTTGGTTTGAGGAGGATGAGACTAACCAGTCTTTGTTTATTTCACAGTATTTCAGGGGGACTAGTGGGTTTTCCTGCAAAGGACACTGTGACCCCCAGCAGTCTGTGCACACTGCAGTTATATGTCGTTGATCTCTAGGAACAGAAACCACCACAACCTGGGCTGGCCCCTAAATGACTCAACTGCTGGCCAGCGGCTCAGTGTCACCCAGAAGGTCAAGAAAAAGATTTAATTGTCCAGACTTGACACAGACTCCATTAATGGCTACTCTATAAGCCAAGAGACCTCTCAGCGCATGGCCATGGGCTAAGGACTTAGGGCAAATTGGGGAACTCATGCATACATCTAAACTGACATCGTAATGGGGATTATACTTAGAGCCATCATAATTTCTACTGTTTCATTTTAAACGTAATTCCATAGGAAATGATCCACATCTCTCGAGATACGCTTCAATGAGGTCAAGGTTTCTGTTTGATTGTTTTCCTTGCTACATACTTCATCTCTGAAGTGAATTCTTAAACGTATAGCTCTGTCTTTCAGCAGGCAAGACCTCGTGAATAAAGCTGGCAGTCAGTCTGCTTCGACAGCAGCAGTGCACTGACTCATCCGTGTTTTCCCAACATGTTTCTACCCGGCACCCAGGTCTATTTGTAGCCTGACAATAAAGGCCCTATGCAAACCACCTCTGAGCTGTCTGCCTGTAAAGGCAAACGCACTGTTCTCAGCTGACTCATTTGCGCTGCCTGCGCTTTAGAGAATAACCCACTGCCACATTTATGGAGGCACGTGGTATAGTTCAGATTAGCTCAGATTTTGCCAATGCCTATATGTCTTGCCTTGTTCTAGTATCTGGAGAGCCTAATGAAGTCAGAGATTTCACTAACTATAAAGCCTAACTTAATAACATACCCCTGAGGACATACAACCAATGTTGCTTGAATCAACAGCCCAGACTGAAAATTCTGCAAGTCGGGATTTTTATTATTTTGCTCATATACGTCTATCTCCAGAACTTTAAATAGACTCATAAGAGGCCAGTCTCTGGATAAGGTCATCATGCTTGGTAAAGTAGAGGGGCAGAAAGAAAGAGGATGCTATCAGCAAGATGAATCGACACCGTGGCTGCAATAACGGGTTTAAAGAGAAGACCGATTGTGCGATGGCGCAGGGCCAGGGGCGGCGTTTCATCCCTTTTCACACAGGGGCACGGTGAGCTGGAACTGACTTAAGGCCATTGAATAACACAACCACTGACTTGCTCCTGGATTATGGGCTACAGTACAGTTGCCAGCGGGGCACTGCAAATTTTTTTCCTGAAAAGGGGGAGGTTGGCCAAATACGTTTCTGTGCCTTGCTGTGTTCCAGCCACGCGTAGCGACCCATAGGCATGCCAGAGGACTGCGGTAAAAGGACTCTGGGTTCCTGGTGGCTCCGTGAGTTAAGTGCTTGACCACAGCTTGGCGGTTCAAATGCATGGGGCGCGCCAGGCAGAAAGCGTGGGCTCTGGGTTCCTGAGAAGACTAACTGCCTTGGAAGGCTTTTAGAGCCACGCTCCCTGCCCACGGGACACCAGGAGTGGGAGTCAGCACAGAGGCAGCGGGTGTGTGAAGAGAAATTGATCAGCACATTAAAAAAGAAAGAAAAAAATGAGACAAAATATTTTCTTTCAGAGGACCATTTAAGACAGTCATGAGTCTATAGCTTCTATGAAATTATAAATGGAGATTTAAAATATATTAACTAAACTATGTTTAGCAAAGAGCCTCAGGGTCTGAATTAGCTACTTTGACTTAAGTCAGATTTCTGAATAACATCCAGAAAAATTCATTTTGTTGGACTATTTAGCATCTCGACTCAAAAACCATTTACTTATGAGTACGTTCCCTCTGATGCTAACTCAACCATGTCCTTTATTACAAATGAAAAAAGAAGCATCTGCTTTCATACTTTTGTTCAATAAAGTCCTTTATTTTCCCAGGAATTTATTCATATAAAATGTAACTCGTCATAGAAGGGCCAAAAAAACAAAACCAAACCCCCAAACCTACCTACTACTATTGCTAATCTCAGATGCTGTATTCTCAAGTTAAATGGGATGGTGCTGCAAAAGTACTTCATAAGCTACAAAAAGATAATAAACGAACACCACTGTTATTATCACTATGTCCCCATTTCAATGAGATCATGAAAGGGGGTGGTTAGAAATTATCTGCGCCCAAAAGTACCTCATTGCTGAAGGTCTTACAATCCTCTGGAAAGCTTGTGTTCCGGCCTCCTGTTGTCCCCTGAAGTCATAGCAACGGCACACAGGGCCCGATGGGATCGGCTGTGCGACGTGGATGGTTTTCATTGAGTGGTCCCACACGGAGACCCACGGGCTCGTCTTCCTAGTCTGCCTAAGCCTGGAAGTCCCACTGAAATCTGCGTAGCACCACAGCAACACCAAACCATCCATCGATAGTGGCTAACCATGCAGGTCACCTTGGTAGGGAATCAAACCCCAGTTTGACTGGGTTTGATTGAGCGGTAGGTAAGAATTCTACCTCTGCCCCACAAAAGCCTGTGCTACCTAATTCATTGTAGTTTTCTTAAATTCTCTTAACATGTGGCTGCCTGGTTTATCTTCTTGGTATGGGCCTCGCGGTACTACTCCAGTGTTTTCTTAAAAGATCTCCTTTAGTTACATGTTCATGCTGATTGTTTAAAGGGAAATAACTTCTGAATTTGATGGTCTATCAGATTTTATTATAATTCAATTCCTGACAGCGCTGCTAGAAAACAAGTGACATATATACTTTGTGATTGTAGCCTACTACGTGTGGCTCCTACCCCTCAGTCTCCAACTGGTCACACACTGAGCTGATGGACCAGCACAACTCTGTTTTAAAATAGCCATGCACTGCCAGTACTTCAAACCCACCAGATTCCACGGAAGATTTGGATTTTCGGCCTTTTTTTGAAAATCAAAAATTTGAACGAAATCAGGTGCTCGTGCACTGAAGCAAGGCTGGGTGGCCAGTGCCCTCTTCCAAAGACGCAAGAGCCCTCAGGAGTCCTCACAGTCCCCACCCAACCCTTTCCTCTCGTGCATGTGGCCTGTCTGGCCCTGCACAAGCTCTGCGCGGTGTAAACGGGTAAGGCATTTCAAGGTCGGAAGACTAAGTCTCTCCAGAAGGACCTCACAACCAAGTCCTGCCAATCTCTTCCAGCTTTCGGAACCCCATTAGAGAACACACATGAGGCTAAGGGGACTCAGCATCAGCTTAAGGACAACTGTGTTGGGTCATGCTGTGATTTGTTTTTTGGAACCTGGCCTTGTGACCATTTAAGTTCCCAACCCATCTCCTATGCTGATTGACCTAGGATCCAATATTGTTCATCTTGCCTTACCTGTATGTGCTACATTTCAATATTCTAATCATTGTCAGCTACACTGTATTCATGTTCTCTAAATATGAGCCATCTGTAAAACAGCGGCCCCACCCACCACCCCCGCAAAAAAATAAGAAGAAAGAATGTACCAAAGGCAATCCTTTCATGATTCCTATATGCGATGCTAGAAGGGTTCCAGGTGGCGCAGCTGAATAAGACCCGTGATTGGAACTCACCAATCACTCTGGAGTACAAGCACGCGGCCGTCTGCTTGCAGAAAGACTGGCGGCATTGGAAAGAAACCCTGCAGGCAGCTCTACTCTGTCCTCAAGAGCCATGTTTCTCTTCTCTAGAGTGGTTGACGGAGTCATGCCTCTGATCTTTCCTTTAGCAGCCACAAACTTCACCACCGCACTGCAAGCCTCCTTCTGAGATTGCAACCTCAACTAAAAGTTGTCTTCACATACATGCTTTTATGACAGCCACATGATCTTTTCTATCTCCCAGACTCTTATTACTCATGAAAAAGGAAGGCAAATGCCAAGTGCAAAGGAACCAACACATTTTGGCTCACATGAAATGCAAAACAGGCCGACAGTCCTTCCAGCCGAAGGAGAGGCAGTTGCAGGTATAGCGGAAGCATCTGCCTGTAGATATGGAAATCCACACTTGAGAAACATGGCTCAGTTGTTTGATGCTTCTACTTGCTCCTGTTTAAAATGGGGCCGACCATGCACTCCCCCAAAGGGCCTCACCATCACGTTCACCAGGACACAGTCCACACCCGGATTCAGATGGTGGAAGAGCTAACCTTGTGCACTGCACAGAATCAAAGCAGCGGATAAGCTTTTGCCCAAATTGAATTGTGTGTCCTCATTTCCTTCCCTTTTCTCCTCCCACTTGTGACTCAACGCAGATTTCATCAAGCTATTTATATCATTACTAAACTGCTAGAAATACAGCAGCAGGCCAGAAGCAACGTAAAATGCAGCATCCAGCAAAACACAGAAAATCACACTGAGCAGCTCTAGGGCCATCTGCTTCTCGCTGCGCTGTCGGGGTGAGGAAGGCCATCTGGGCTGGGCTATTTGCGTCCTTCCCAGAGCCAGACCCACCTGCATGTTGTCCGTGGCATCCCCAAGCAGTCCCCCAAAAGTGATCGCATTCGTCACAGTCGCCAGGTAAATGAAGAGAATCGCTGAGAGAGCCTGGATATTTAAAGCATCGTAAAAATCACTGGCAAAAAACGGTGCTTTCCTCTTTATGTCCTTGATGAGTCCTCCACAGAACCTGGGCAGGGAACAAGCAAAAACACGTGACCACGTACAACAGATTATCTCAAAAAGATCAAGAGATAATGGACTTCGCCACAAAGGATTTATAGTTAAAATGCCCGAATTCGCCGCAAGACACTGTCTGACAACATAAGATTAAACCCATAATCTGTAGAGAAGTCCATTTTTCCCTATCATTCTATGTTGGACATTGATTTAGGCACACGGTTTCCCAAAGTCCAGCCAATTGGCCTTTAGATTGAATGGTCATTGTTAACGAGTTAAACTTTCTTGCTGCCTAAAGAGAAATGTCCACACTTGTGAGCTGGTCACCTTTTATAATCTGACCACAGTTTCCTTTCCAGCCCCAGTCCACCAGTCCATCAGAGAGCCGGCCAGTCATGCCACAGATGTTCACTGAATCCCTGTGATGTGGCTGGCACCCTTCTGGCAGGGGGGGTACAGCAGTGAACAACCAAGCAAACGAACCTGCCATTGTGAAGTTGACGTCTTGTCCCATGGAGAGACAATAAACAAGAGAAGTCAATAAAATGCTTTGTCATGGAAATCAAGGGGAAACACAATGTCGGGCAGAGTGAAGAAGGGCCAGAGGAATGGTGATGAATGGTTTGCGTGGGGTAGACAGAGGAGGCCTTGGGAGAAAGGGACTTCAGGAGAGGGACTGAAGGAACTGAAGGAAAGAACCATGCAGGTGGGTTCTACAGTCTTGCAAGCTGAGCTCCCTGGTCCCCTTAGCAGCCATGCTCATGCCACCCCCGCCCCTTCCCCAGGAAAAGCTCCTGTCTCAGAGCCATCCTCAAAGGCCTTCTCGGTCCAGTCTATTCCAAACTGGAGTAACTCCCCTACTGCAAATCTCCCTATTTATGTTTAATTTTTTTTGCCTCCCATCAAACCAGCACCAGATTTATTTATTTACTTATGGTTTATCTTCTATCATTACAAAGCAAATCCCATAAGGGCAGGGAGTTCTGTTTAATTTACAGCTGTATCCTCACAGTACCGGGGACAAATTGGTACACTGTAAATATTTCTAGGTGAATAAATGAACAAGCCGCTGGATAAAAAATTTCACTCAAAAGATAAGAAGCAACTTAGATCCAAAGAGGACCTCATCATGAGTAGCAAAGAATCCATCCCGTTACCTTCCAGTTCTCTGCAATTCTTCACAGTCCCCATGACCTCCACCTCCATGGCCCCCATCATGCGGCGTGTCCCCATTCATTTGGACATTCTCTCCACCCGAGTACATATTCTTCCTGAGTAAGACAATAAACCCCAGAGGAGATTAATGTGTCCCATTCACCTTCTGGTTGGCTATATCACGAAGTAGCTAAAGAAGATCAGGCATAAACATTCTTTGGGAGTAAGAGCATTGTTCTCTTCTGCCCTCAAAGACAAGTCTTAAAGGATTATATTTAGAGTCAAGACAAATGAACAGATGCAAACCAAAGGTGGATGAACTGTATGTTGTAAAAGAGGAAACATGTTTCATCTGGCAAATAAAAGATTTCTACAAAAACGGCTTCCCCTGAACCATCATGCTTCGTTTCTAACACTCTTCAATCTGTAGAGCTTCATGTGGAATCAACTGGTCCTGCCTCGGGTACCGGGAAGCACCCCAGGAGAGCCAGGGTTACGTACTCTGCTGCTAACCAAAATGTTGGGGTAGAAGCCCCGCAATACCTCTGCTTCTGTGAAGAGTTCAGGCTAGAAAGTGCCAGGGGGCAGTTCTCCTTGATCACCTGGGACTCACTTGATGACTTGAAATTGATTCAATGGCACCTAACAATAACAGCAGCCTATGCAGGAGTTCCCAGAGCATCTCCACAGAGTCTGTTACTCATTTCCACGTCATATTCGGAGATCTCGAATTGCGATCATTGAAGAAAATCATGGCATATAACATCCATTTTACATGTCAAAAGAATGTGGAACTAAGGGATGTATGTGACTCACTGGAGATACTACACCAGGTAACGGAGAACATGAATACAGGACGGTAGTTACCTGTTCTCATTTTCTCTTCCAAACAAGCCTCATCCCACGATGTCCCAGTAACTGAAAACTCCAACTGCCTGATAATTTACCGTTTGTCAGATGACGGGAGAGTCTTTGGAGGCTCTATCCTGATGGTTGGATCCCACTCCCCGGGTGGAAGGACGATGACTTCATCCAGGAACTCATCAATGCCAGCAATCAGGTCCTGCCTGTCTTTAGCTTTATAAGCAATATCATGGAACACCTGAAGAACAAGGGGAGATCTGCTGATGCAACCAAAGAAGTTCCACACGATGCCAGCAGGAACGATGCAATCTATAATCCACTACAATATTATCACTGCTGTGTTATCACATTTCCTATTATTTATTTTATCCCGATATGTTTAAATCTGCAGATGAGAATCACAAAGGTGGTTAAGTAGAAGCTTAAGAAAATAGCTGTGCATTATTCTATCAATATTATTTAGCAAAATTGTCTTTCATCTCTGGGTAGGTACAAAAATGGATACCATTACAGTGGAATCCAGAAGAAAATGGTTTAGACATACATATTGAAAAGTCATTTCCTCAAAAACTACAAGGAAAACAATTGCTGGTATATCAAGATGAGAAAGTTCAACTTGATTGTTCAGATCAGGTCAAAACCCAAACATTGCAGCTCTCAAATATACAATTTATATTCATAATTAAAAGAAGAAAAATCTACATTACATTGCCAATACAGAGAGTAAAGGACCAGTATTCTGTGACCAGCCGTCTATCTTCAGGGAAGACAGCAACTACAGAACCCAAGGCAGCAAAGACTGCCTCCTGTTTCTGTGCCTCCAAAGGTCCAAGTGTGCACAATCCCCTCAGCCAATTGTTCCAACCCAGCTAATGGCTGAAAGTTCCATACATATAATTCAAGTCTTCCTTACTTCACAAGGCAAATTCCTTAGTGTCTAACAGAGAAGGTGGCCATGTTCAACGCCCTTGCCAATAACTGCTACTAAATGTTGGGAGAAGATCTTCTAGTACAATGGCCAAGCACTTGCCGTAATTGAAACATCAGCAGTGTAATTGATGCTCCATAAGAGAAGGATGTGGCCACCTGCTTTCATGAAGACTCACAGTCTTGGAAAATCTACGGGCAGTTCGGCTCTGTCTATGGGATTGCTCTGAGTTGGATTAGACCCTACGGCAGCTGGCTTGGATGGGTTTAAACAGTGGGAGGTCATAGGGGGAATGAAGGTGAAGATGGTTGTGTCTGCTAGAAATTAAGTACTGGCACTGTTTTATTTTTCTCACACCCCACTTCTCCTTTCTCCTTAAAGACTATTTTTTTGTTAACTTAAAAAAATTCTTGTCAAGAAAAATTTTCCTCTAAGGAACATGATGGGTATACTGCTTCTAATTCACTCTGCTTGTTATTCTGGTAGTCTGAGCTATAGTGAATATTCTTCTCCGACACCATAATTCAAAGACATCTTCTTCAGTTTTCCTTATTCAATGTTCAAACTTTCACATGCATATAAGATTGCTGTAATCCCTTATTCCACATCCTCTTCTGAATCTATCCTGAAGCGCCGTGTCAATGTACTGCTGCAACCAATTTTTAATTAAAATATTATTAACATATTATATTAATGATAATGTTGCTGTTAGGTGCCAAGGAGTCGTCAGTTCTGATTCATCGCGACCCCACGTACAAAATAGCAAAACAACACATCTGAAAGATTCCTTCTGGGCCATCCCTACAATTGTTCTTCTGTCTGAGGCCATTGTTGTAGCCCCTGTGCAAACCCCTCTTTTTCACGGCCCCTCTACTTTACCACACATAATATGCTTTCCCAGAAGCTGGTCTCTCCTGACATGGCCAAAGTACATGAGATGAAGTCTTGCTGTCCTTGCCCTACAGAGCACGCTGTCTGTACTTCTTATAAGGAGCCTTATGGATGTAGATCTTCCAAGACAATTAATTTCTTATTCTGGTAGTCTGAGTATATTTAATATTTTTCACCAATCCCACAAATTAAAGACATGAGTTCTTCTTCAGGCTTCTTTAATCATTGCTCAAGCTTTCAAATGCATGCGCGATGGCTGAAAAGTCGTCTTTCAAAGTGCTACCTCGGCCTGTCAGACTTGGTTTTTCTTTTGGTAGACTATGGTTATGTTAGTCTGGGTAGACTAGAGAAACAAATCCATAAAAACTCGTATGTGTAAAAGAAAAAAGTTTATATACAAGAGCAATTGAATATTGAGAGAATGTCCCAGCGCAGTGCAGATCAAGTCCATAAGTCCTATATGAGCTCATATGTCCGATACCAATCTATAACGTCCTCTTCAGACTCACGAAACACATGCAATGACATCGAGTGCAGGACATCACAGGCCAGTGGGTAGAAAGTCTTTGGATCCAGTGGCGTTGTAAGCATCTCAATGTTGCAGGGGTCTCCTCGTGGCTTCTCCAGGTCCAGGGTTCTGGCTGCATCAGGGTTGGTCCATGTGGCTTCTCCTGCTCCCGGAATGTAGCACCATGTGTCTTGTCAGGAGAGTGTCTCCAAGAAAGTGAGGTAGTGAGAGTGTTTCCTGCCTCCAAAGAGGAAATAATAGAATTCCCAGCATCCTTAGGGGAAGGCCATGCCCACACAGAAGCCTCAATGGCTATGACCCGATTGACTGAGTAGACTCCACCCCTTCACTCTCAATCCTCTTAAATCCCAAATTGACTCCAGTTTATGTAATTACCACAATAGTACCTTCAATGTTCTTCCTCAGCAACATAGTTCCAATGCATCAATGACTTCTTCTTCAGTCTCCCTTATTCAATATCCAACTTTCACCTGTGTATGAGGCTCTGGCAAATGGCTTGGGTGAAGCTCACCTCAGCCCTCAAAACAACCTCCTTGCTTTCCAACCCTTTAAAGAAGTCTTGTGTAGCAGATTCACCCAGTGCAATGACAGAAAGCTCTGCATTCGGAAAGATCACCTTTCTTTCAATGGGCACAGATAGAGTTATCTTCTAGGCATTTGGCCAGGTGGCTGTCTTCTAAATTTCTTGCCATGGACAAGTGGATGCTTCCAGCACTGCATCCCTTTTTTGAAATATTTCAATTGGCATTCTGCCAATCCCTGGTGCTTTGTTTTTGGTTAATGCCTTTAGTGTAACTTGGGCTTTTTCTTGTAGTACCATAGGTCCTTGAAGACATGCCGTGTACTGAAACGTTCAAATGCTGACCACTTTTTTTTTGGTGTAGAGATTCTGTGTATTCCTTCCACCTCTCCTGATGCTGCCTGAGTCATTCAGTGAGTATAATTAAGTCTTCTGGAATTCCCATTCTTTACAGTGTTACACATAGCTTGTTACCATCCACAGAATCCAATGCTTTTGCATAGTTAAAACGCAAGAAAACATCATCCATCTTTTTGGTGCCTCCTTCAATATTCTATTCTCAGCACTTATCTCTTCAATTCCTTCCACTTGAGGAATGCTGATCAATGTTTTTCCTCAGCATGTCATATCGTAGGTGGTAACACACACACACACACACACAAATACATAAACCCACTGGGATACCTAGTCCCCTCAAGGGGTGGGGGGTGGATTGGGGAAATAGCATAGCTATTCTTCAGCTCTCAAAGTCACAGGATAATGAATCCATCAAGTACATTTCTAACTAAAGTGTATTCTTTTCTGCACTTAACATATGGGGAAGTTGCAAATCAAGCAGGAAAAAAATGTGGAGTGAAGTTAACAACTGAACTGGAAGGACGCAGAAGCAGAAATTAATGATCCTGTAATCTAATGCTATTTCTCTTACTAGAAGACCAGTGGGGGCTCCTAAATTTTATCATTTCTGAAATTAGTATAATAACCAATTATTTTTGGTATAGAGATTCTGTATATTCCTTCTTTTTTTTTTTTTTTGATGCTTTCTAAGGAGTTCAATGAGCACAATTAAGTCTTCTGGAATTCCCATTCTTTGCAATACAGTATATTCCAAAGCATTTAGGATCCACACAACCCAAGGCTTGTCAAGGAACTGTAAAATTGTTAATGTAGTTTAGTTCTACTGTCATTAATTTCCACAAGAAAATCATAAAAACATGTGGTTTCTGATAATTAAGAAACAATACGTTGTCTAATTGTTATGTACTATTTTTCTATTGAACCCAATATTTCTGAAGCAATATGAACACTTCAATTCCAACAAGGAATATTTTAAATATTTTCAGAGATAAAATTTAAATTTTAACTGTTAGGGACTATTCCACAATACCCTTGATTAGATGTGAACATTGTCACTTTAACTTGTTCAAATGATTTCGCCTTCATTGGTTGTAACATTAAAAAAATAATGGAAAACATATTTTATTCCAGCACAGTATTTAGAATCCAATACAAAGGCAAAATGTACTTGCTCATTAAGACATGTTTAGAAGTCAACTCACTTGCCACAAATGACTGCTTTTATTGTTATTAATTTTTTGTTTTAAGGATGATAACCACATTATTTAAATAGAATAAACTGCAATGTCCAATTCACAGTATGAAAACAGCACAGATGGGTCATTCACAGATTCCCATCATCCCAACCCCATACCTCATCAGACATCAAGGTAGCAATGGCTCTGCCAATCTCATGGTAGGATTTGGCTTTCCCCTTGGGACCTAAGAGAATGAATAAGAACCTAATGGAAAAGGAAAAAAACAGCGGCTATATTATTTCATTGGACACAATAAACCTAAAACTAAGAAACATGTATCTAGTTCATAAAAAGTTAGGTCTAAAATTCAGCTTTAAACTTTGATATTATTGGTAATATAAATAATTCTCCATCACACTATTGAGAAATACAAATTGTTCTGTTTATTAGGAGGCAAAGGATAGTTTAGCATGTGAACGTGAATGCACTTATTGCTGACCAAACACGTTTTACCTTATGAGTCATACTTTTTTCCTGTTTCAATCTCTTGAGCATCTTTAAAGACTCAGAATCTTTGGAGAAACCCCACTAAGCATAATAACCAGAAAGAACATCTCCAGCTGTGTCATATTTTTTCATTACTCAATATAGGCAGTGACAAATGATCCTTTCTGTATTTTTAAGAAACATTCTATGTCCTCTCCCAGCCAGCCACATGTTTACAATCAACGTATAGGCCAGGAGATACGAGAGGAGTTCACAATGAAGCACCATGCACAGAGAGTGAACATTCCTTCGTGGATCTCCTCACTCTCCTCTGCTGTCATCTTCCTGATCATGCATGAGGCATGGCTGCATATAGCAAGCAAGTTCCCAAACATGCAATCATGAGCTAGTCCCACTTAAGTTCACCTGTGATCACAAAGCAAAAATGCCTGTTTTGACTGGAAGGCAGGGACTATGATAAGCATATGATTAAGAAATATATCCATAGATAATCCTTTGATTACATTCTTACCTAACACAGAGATTTAAAAAGCCAATAAAAATGATAACATTATATGTTTTTTATTTGGGGGTGGTAAGTGTGCAAAGCATTTCAGTCATCAACGTATTTAATCTTCCAGACCACTCTCTGCTGGAAAGATAAATATCCTATTTCCATTTCATGGGAAGGAAACTGAGCCTCGAGAGGTTTATGGATGATCCAAGTAAACGGCAAGCGATAGGTCACCGAACTTGCTGTTCTTCAAACACGACATATCTGTCAAACGTGAGCTGGCCAATATAGATGGCAGGGTTAGGGTTCAACAGAGACGTGCACTGGTCCCTCCCGAGAAAGAACCATAGACAAGTAGTTGGGACAAAAACCTTAGGGAAGATATTGCCATGCCAAGAATGACTTACCACTGGCTTAGCAGAACTGTTTCTCTTATTTATTTCACTTAAAACAATTTTAAAGCAGTATTAATGAATGCATGAAAACTGTTTGGGACTGTTCCATAATGCCCTTAATTAGATGTTTGTTTGTTTCATTATACAATTTAATCCAAAGGGGATTTTTTTTTTCTAATTTAAATACCCCATCCTGGTCATTTCCCCCAGTCTTATCTGCTCCCAGTGGAAAGAGCTCCAGGGGTTACTAGCCGGGATGCTAACTGCAAGGACAGCAGGTGGGGACCAGGAGGTGCTCCAGAGGAGAAAGTTGGGGCTTGTTCCTAGTGACTCTGTAAAGCGTGACAGCCGTGGGACCTCACAGGGGCAGTTCCACCCTGTCTGGCAGGGCCACTCCGAGTCGGCATTGACAATGGCAGTGAGCTGGGCTTTCTGCTTTCATGTTTGGGCACCTGCCCATATAAAGACTGACAGCTACCTGGCTACATCAAACCTGCTTCCTTTAGGTGCAGCAAAAGAAAACACTGAACACTGGATTCTTTACATACTACGTGTTCACGTAATGGGTTTCCTTTGCTATCATTTTATTCTTTCAGAGTAATGCATACTACCTACAGCCTTTCTAGAGCCCACTCCCAATGAATCAATTCCTACTCATAACAACCCCAGGGAACAGGGCGAAACTGCTCCTGGGGTGTCTGAGACTGCAGATCTTCCCAGGAGCAGAGAGCCTCATACTTCTCCAGCAGTGCACTGCTGGGTTTGAACCACGGCCTTGTGGGAAGCAGTTCAACGTTTCACGACTGCCCCTTCAGCTCAGAAGACCCCTGAAATGTACAGCCCCCCAATGGAAGCGCTGGTCGAGGATGGGGACATCCTCTGGTCGAGGATGGGCTCAGGTAATGGAGCCTACGCGTTCCGTCCTAGAAGAGGAGGGCACACATTTCCTACCAGCATTCTCTCTTTGATCTTGGGTAAACGACACCAAAGAACAGATGGAAGCAGCAGACTAATAGTGACGACAACGTATAGCATAGCAACCAACCCACTATATGAGAAGTATGGGTTCAGTGACCTAGATATGGAGGTACATGTCTCTGTCCTGGAGAATGGAAGGCAGGAAGGAAATGAAAGGAGAAAAGTAGGGAAGGGCAGGAAAGATAAGGGAAGAAAGGAAGACAAGGGAAAAGGGAGGGAGGTAACTGAGACTTTTTCCTTTAATGAAATATGATAAAAATATGATCAAATTGTTTTTAAATGACAAAAGTGGAAAACTTCCTATTAGTCTAGAGCAGTGGTTCTCAACCTTCCTCATGCCACAGCCCTTTCATACAGTTCCTCATGTTGTGGTGACCCCCCCAACCATAAAATTATTTTCATTGTTCCTTCCTAACAGTCATTTTGCTACTGTTCTGAATCGGGTGAGCCCTGTGAAAGGGTTGTTCGACCCCCCAAAGGGGTCACGACCCACAGGTTGAGAACCACTGCTGTGGAGACTCAGTACAATTCAGTAATCTACCTTAAAAATGATATATGAGGGGGCTTCAAGAAGTTCATTTTTAAAAAATCCATGATCTTTTAATTCCATTTTTCCATGAACATTGTGAAGTCTCATGGAAAGGGGGTTGTCATAAGCATCAAGAAACATCATCGTGAGTCTAAAAAGTCGTCGGTAGCAAGGAGTTTTGGAGCGCAGGAACACCAAGGCAGTGCAAAAGGTCAAGCTCTTGCCTGCTAGGTGAAAGGCGGTCAGTTTAAATCCACCCAGAAGTACTTCAGAAGACAGGCCTGGTGGTGCCCCTAAAAGATCCCATTCATGGGAACCCTAGAAAGTAACTTACAACTAGCATGTTGGGGTCACCATGAATCAGAATTGACTCAACAATATCTAGGAACTACAAAAATTTGGACTATTTTATTAAAAAGAGGATAACCTTGGAGTTAAGGCTAAAATGTCCGAGTGTGAGAAGAAGCGGATGATTGCAAAGTTATGGAATTGGTGATTGTTGAGCTTTGGTGTAGACCTCTTGCTTTGAGGGTACATGATGAATGGTTTCCTGGGACTGCCATGCATGTACAATTTTAATGCTCTCCTTGCTATCTTATGACATGGGTTAGTCTGGGAGGCACAGTTCTGCCTCTGCGAATGAGTGCTATGAAAAGATTGCCCTAGACCAACTCCCATTGTTCCAGGTAAATTGTGCCCAGTCCCATAAGCATTTAATCTGTACAAGCCAACAATTCATATATTGTTGTCGGAAAAGCTGGCCTACACATGTATACTTTTCTTCTTCAACAGTGTTCGAAATTCCATACCGATGGCTAAATTAATGACACTATAAATGTGCCCCAGGGGGATGATTTAAAATATTCTCTATCAGAAAAATGATAATGATGTCTCTAAAGTGAAGCCCAGAGACAAATAAAACATAGTATCTGAACGGATTGGGGCTGCCATCTAAGTGAGGCATTAAGTACGTCCACATGGAGGAAACAACCCCAGTGTGTTATCCATATACTGTAAATAATAAAATCCAAACCTGAAAGAGGGAATGGTATCAAAGCTAAAATGCTGAAAACCCGCTTTGCAGAAGGATATTGGGGACAGCAGAATCCCTAAACCCATTTGCAGAGTGCCCACATGGAGTAAACTGCTGGTGAATCCCCTCTGAACACAGTCCAGGGATGCAGAGAGCCCTGCTGTTGGGGAGAGTGAGTTGTAAAGATGCCTGTGGCAGAAGTGGTTAGGGTAAAGTGTAACGGCTCAGATTTGCTCTCCTTTTTGATGCATTTCATCGTTATTTAGATTTGTAATATTTCCCGCTTTCTCTTCTATTGGGCTTTCTCTGTTGTGCTCTGTCATTGTTTTGTTTGCTTTCTTGCTTCCTGTTTTGTATGATTTTCCAGATATGAAATCCAGGGTAAGTAAATCTAGGAGATTTACTGGATTAATGATCACTTAGAGACATGGAAGGGGAGTTGGGGAAATGGGGAGCTAACAACAATGAGTACGAGAAGAAAATGTTCTGAAATTGATTGTGGTGATGATCGGACAACTCTTCTTAAATGATTGAATGAGTAATTGTATCTGTAAATCATCTGCCGGTAAAACTCTTTTTTATAAAACGATAAGAGGATGAGAAATCTTGGGACGCCGGCAGCACAGACCAGCACAGCAAGCTGAAGCGACCTCTGGCAGGGAGGGCTCTCTGCCTGGGAGGCATGAGGCCCAGAGGGAAAGCGGCTGTGACTTTCACCATGGAGAGCACTCTACGGGGCAGCACTCAAAAGAGACGGAAACGCCTGTCATGACCAAAGCTGTTTTTTGTCAATTGACAGATGCTATTTTTAACCAGAAGCTTTTTCTTTAATAACAAATTAGAATAAACATTCCATTTGTGTGGCGGGAAGGGCACAGCCCTGTGCTGACAGCCCCGGACAGCCGGGCTTGGTGGTGAGGAAATCAAGTTACTGAGTTCTTTTCATTCAACTCATACCTAGAAATAAGTCATGGTTAGACTTTTTCATAGTGCCAAGCTGTTTCAACAACTCTCACGAGGACCGCCGTGTTTTGGCGAGCCTTTTTATATAACTAGTTATGCGTGGAGGAAAGGTCTCCAATTCTCTATCACAAAAACAAGCGCCAGAGGAGCTGTCAGGAACCAGCAGATGATACTCACATTCACAGAAGAATGATGGTCAAAGACAGAATATAATGCCAGACAGGAGCCAGCCTTCCTAATCCACTCAATCTCTTTGTGAAAGGTGCGTGCCCCTGGCTTCACGATACATCACCGCTATTTCCAGAATAAACTGAGCATCTACTCCTCCTCTATTCCCTCCTCTCAAAACATTGAATCAAATAACCCATGATTCAGATTCAGCAGCTTGGGAAATTGGCTGAAGTGTAGCTCTTCCAGAATAGATTCAAGAGGACCATGAACTCCCCATAAGCAACCACATGGCATGCAGGAAACAGCAGCTACAAGGAGACTGGTGGACGTGACAGAGTGTGCTAGCAGGGCCTCCATCTCAATGCTGCTAATGGTTTTATTTATTTTTTATGGATTTGACAATTAAGCACAAGCTACTTCCTTTAGGCAAAGACTACTTCTATTAAGGCAAACCATTATTGACGACATAAATTATACATCAATTACAGTGATGCTAAAAGGGTAAAATATTCTAGTGTCCATTTTCTTTCTTTCTTTTACTGTTGTTTGGTTTTGAATAACTACAGTTCACAGAATAGTTATTTACTTTCTATATACAAATCAAGATCAGAAAAGGAAATTTTTATTTGGGATTTTTCTTCTAGATATGTCTCTAAGTCCTCCCAAAAATCTGGCCTCAGAGTTGGAAAACTGGAAAGCTGGAAAATTCTAGCACTGATAGTGAGTGGGCCTTCCTTTCCCTCCATGTCGAATTAGCACTGAAGGTGACGCTTCCCTTTCTCTACCATGTAAAAACGGGATAGCAGTGCAGATCCCCAAATAGCTGTAGCACATGGGAGGATAAAAGGTGTGGCTACAAGATGACAGCAGGCAAAGCGCCAGCAACATGCCATCAAAACCCTAAATGATACCTAATGTATCAAGTCGCCGAAGAGCAAAGAATAGAGGTAATTCCAAATACATAGCAAGAGGACCCTAGAAAGGCAGACATGCATTCAGTTGATAACAGTCCAGATGCAAGTGGAAAGCCAATGTAAGTCCAAATAGCAAAGCCAAATAACAGAGTTAACAGATGATCTCTGTGAAAGCTACACAGGAAACAAGAGCAGTTAGAGCCACATGTCCTAAAAGGTGTGCTGTAGCTCTAATGGCTGTAAGAATCATAATTATACACACAAGAGCACACCTTTCTCCATCTTTAAAAAGGAAGACATACAATAGAAATCTGTGTACAAGAACAAAGTTTTCAAGTCTTCCTTTAGTACAGAAACTGGACGGTTCAAACACATCAGGTGCTCTGCTGGAGAAAGACGAGGCTCGCTGCTCCTATAAAGATTGCAGTCTCAGTAACCCTAGACAGGGTTGCTACGAGTCAGAATCAACTTGATAGCAGCCACTCACTCACTCACTGTCTTCCCGTCAATTGTGACTCACGGGGACCCTAAGGGACAGAGGAGAACTGCCTCCGGGGTTCCGAGACTGTGAAACTTCATGGAAGTAGAAAGTCTCATCTTTTGCCTGCAGGGATGCTCGTGGTTTCAAACTGCTGATCTTGTGGTTAGTATTGCTCCAAAGTCATACCAATCTTTATTTTTTTAATATCAAAATGTGAAGCTATTATATATAAATATACCCTCCATCTATGTCTATACCTTCAGAAGGTGACATTTGCATCTCTCTAAGCATCTCTGAATAAGGAAGACCAGAAAAGGCACTGTATTGGAATTAGGGTCTGATGAAGACTATTGAAAGTACCACGGACTTCCAAAAGTGACCCAAGAGAATGTGCACATCACAGAACAATATCATTGATCTCACACGCAAGAAAACTTACTGAAGATCATCTAACAATGATTGCAGCAGCACACTGATCGGGAGTTATCAGAGTTTCAGGCTGGATTCAGAAGAGGACGTGAAACAAGGGCTATCATTGCTGATGCCAGACAATGCTGTAGAGAGATTAGAACACTAATACACTGCTAGTGGGCTTGTAAATGTGTACAACCATTGTGGAAAGTGGTATGAAGATATTTGAAACAACTTGGAATAGAAATAACCTATCCCAGCAATCCTGTTGCTGAGCACAGACCCCAAAGAAGAGAAGCAGACATAAGCTCTCCGTATTCACTGCAACACAGTCCCCAGTAACAAGATGCTGGGAACAGCCCGAATGTCCATCAGCAGAAAAATAGATAAAGAAACTCTGCTACATACACACAATGGATACATACATACACACAATATAATGCATCCCTAAAAAGCAGCGATGAAACCATGAAACACCTCATGACATGGATGGATCTTAAAATTATTTTGTTGCGTGAAGTCAGCCAATCAGAAAAGGGCAAATATTGTATGAGTCTACCACTATAAGGTCAAACACCACGAGGGAAGCAGGCTTCTACTCAGGGCATTTAATCTTCTAACGCAGTCTCCCAAGCAGTGAGGCAGAGAGAATGCCTAGTGCTTAGGAATATATGTAAATCCTTGTCTATAAACTTAAAAAAAAAACCACCTTGCTTGAGACCTCATCTCAGCTACGGACAATTTCCCAAGATGTGGGGAGAGGGAGGAGATGATTCATTTGCTGCCATACAACACTGTGCTAAGGCCACCCCAAATCCACCCACACTCCTCCCAGAGAGAGAAGCACACCTTACAGGAAATTCAAGATAAGGGGAGGGGGCATGGATGTCTTGGAGAAAGCAATCAAACTTCTCTTTGTGGGTAAAGTGGATGAACCAACCACCTATCAGGAAAAAACACACAATACATACACAGAACCCAAGGGGAGGGCATACCTGGCCCTGTGCTCCTTACTGGACACTTGTGACCTGTTTCCTATCCAATCCTTGATGAGCCAGGCCCTGTGCTATAAACAACTGGGGACTTTAGACTCTGTCCTCTGGAGATGCAGAAGAGGTGAAGAAAAAACTGAGAGAGGTGCTGTCAGCCATCCAAACAGATGAGTTTGGAACCGTTTCCAAGAATGGAATCACAGATTTGACAAGTGCAGTAAGTGCAATGGAGAGTACGTTAAAGGTGATAAGGTTGTTTTGTAAATAAATAAATAAACACATAGGTTTGAGGAAAAAATCCATGAGTTTTTTTGGAGGGGGGGTGTACCCCCTCATAATTTTTCCTGCTCTAGTTATCAATCCAGAATGCTCACATTTTACAAATTCTATGCTATCTAGGCGTGAACTGGTTCAAACTTAGTCGAAGACCTGTTTTTGTTTTTGAATTTTCTTTCTCCAGTAAAGGTAGCTCAAAGAGACAAAAACAAAACCATAGCGGCACATGAGCTGGAGTCCAGGCCATCAGCCTAGTCAGCTGTTTGCCAAGTGATTGTTCACCTAGAACGGCAAGGCTCTGCTGGAATGTTTTCAAACAAAAATCTACGTTACAGAAAACACAACTCATGGTAATTGCATTAACTAAGTTAAAAAGATTATCGCCTTTACGGCGCTGTTCGTCCAAGGCCTGTGACTGTTCCATGCATTCTTTGTGTTTCAAGCATCAAAGAAATATAAAAATGAGGAAGAAAAGACACATATGTTCCGAAGCTTGAATAAGGAGGCCGTGTGGAAAAGTTTCTCCTAACCTGGCTCAAAAAAAAGCATGGTCCCTCTTAGCCCTGTAGGTTTTCATCCTCAGAGTGCTTGAGATCCCAAAGTAGGGTGCAAGACCCTTCTTATTCACACTGAGAAACTGAAATAAGGGTTGCCCCACAAGGTGTAGATACTGCCGCCTCTGCCACCAGCAGACTCGGGACTCTTTCTCTCCCGCTGAGTACAAATGTTCTTAGATGGATTCCATATGGAAATGTTTCAAACCATGTAGACGTCTTTGGGAAAATGCTTGGAAAGTCCACCAAGTGCCAAGAGCTGTTGTTTATTTTCAGAATAAGAGTTACAAAGCCTTAAACCTTTAGTGGGTCAGTCCATGACCTGTGAACAGTTTAAAAATCAGTACATGATTACAATAACCTAACAGCAAGGTTTCTCTTTTTTAAAACAGATTATTGTGGAACAGTAACGTGTATACGTTAAGAGTGTAATTTCATGAATGTGTGTACGTGTGGACACAGGTAACTACTGCCAATGATCTGAAGGCCCCAAACCAATGCCGACTCAGAGAGAGCCTTGTAGGGCTTCAGAGGCCGTACATCTTGCGGGGAGCAGAAACTCTCTCCCGGGTAGAACCCAGTTAGTTTGAACCTCCAACCTTGCGATTAGCAGCCCCTGGTTTACAACAGAGCTATTCAATTCTCCGATAAAGCACAGAGTCCATGGAACCTTTGAATTGACTCTCAATCTGGATGAATTTAGAAAAGCGACGTGGGCGCTCAGATTCAGCCTCCTCATTTGTACATCCCAGACACCTAGAGTTTGGACTTTGCAGTATCACTGGGAGATTAAATAAAATAACCCAAAAGATGAAACAAGTATGCTCCCTGATAATAAATTATCATACTTGTTAATAGAGCTGCTGCTAGTTTTGTTGCTGTTATAAAATGTCATTTAATCTGATAGCATAAAAAGTCACCCTTGGACATTCTGTCAGTTGCATCGCTCCTATTTCCTGGACCTGCTTTATCTCGTCACAGTGCTTCTCTGGGTTGTGGGGGCGATTTTCCCCATAAGCACCCTGTATGCCCTCATGTCCTCTGCCCATGCTGCAGACCACAAAAGGTTGGGTGTGGCTTACCTTGTGGGCACAGGGACCTCTGTCAGGGCACCCAGCATGACAGCCTGCTGCAGCCGGACAAAGGCAACGAAGGGGGCGTCCAAGAAGTCAACCTCCCCAACCAGCACGTTCGAAGCCTCTGCATCACGTGGAAGTTTCTTCATGAATTTGTTCTTCAGCTGCGTAAAGAAAACCAAGAGCGGTCCACTTATTCACTGAGCACCATCCCAGGGAGGAAGGGAGGCGAGTGCCGCCACTTCTTGGGGATTGCAACCCATGGTGCCGAACAAAATGCGTCTAAGTTAACGGATGGAAAACCAGCGTGCACCCAAATCACAACTGTAAGAGAGAGGCAGCTCATGTTTCACTCCTTTTAACATCTACACTCCATGGATTCTTACTAGCCATTTCCTATTATGTTTATCTACCTGTTATAATACATTTTCTCCAGACTTCCTGTCAAGGACACTGATGGCCCAATATTCATTACTTACGTATAAGACAATGTACAGAATGATTACATGCATTTATTTATTTGCTTATTCCACACACACACTTACTGAGCATATACTTTAAGTCAAGCACTCATCCGAGCCCTGGGGTTGGGATCCAGGAGTTCCTACTGGCATGGAGTCCATTCCGATTGACAGTGACCCTGTACATACCTTCAAGACTGTGCCTCTTGATGATAGAAGACAGTCTCATCTTTCTGCCTCAGAGCAGCTAATGGGTTTGAACCACCAAACTTGCCGGTACCAGCCTGACTGTCTAACCGACTGTACCTCGAGGATTCTTTAGGACTGTAATGGGGGGGGTAGACTAATTTTATGTACTCTTTGAGCTTATATTCCAGTGAAGGAAAAATAATACATGATTTCAGGCAGTGGTAAGTGCAAAGAAGAAAAACAACAAACAGATGCGACATCAGGATGCTCAGGGAAGCACTCTAAAGAAGCATATCTGGTTTGGGGATGTGAAGATAAATCAGGCCAAGGTCTGAGAAAAATGATAATAACATTCTAGTCAAGACCCAACCTTCCAACAAATAAAGGGGTATAGTGGTTCGAGGGATGATAAGAACAGCAAGTATGGAAAAAACGACAGGCGCTACGGAGGAACAGGAGCAGGAAATCAAGTGCGCATGTCAGCAAAGACCAGATGGTAGGGCCCCACAGGTCCTGGGAAGGCATTTTGCATGGTTTAGATATTAATTGACAGCCAGAATGCCAAGTTCACTGGTGGAGAACACAGGCATAAATTTGGGTGACAAAACTAACCTAAGAAGTACTTAATGTCCTAGAACAAGATAATAGGATTGGTATAAACCCTGAGCCCTGGGCCCTTCTAGTGTTTACAGGAATAGGAGAAAATATGAGCAAAAGACACTGAGAAAGAACAGCCAGCAAAGGAGGAAGCAGACCAGGAGTGATCCCAGCTCCAAAGTCCGGTGAAGAAAGTACTGACAGAGGAAGGGCACTCGGCTGACTCGAAAGGGGCTGTGCATTCAAATGCGAGCTGAAGCTGGATCACTGGATTGGCAAGACAGAGACGGGGTTATTGTGAACGGAGCCAGCAGGATGCTGAGTAAATGGAGGTGATACAGGGGAGGCGAGGAATAGAAACATTGAGAAAGGTTGTGATTAAAATGAAGAGACAGCTAGAGGAGAGCATAGAATATGAACTTTTAAAATAGGACATATTCACAGAATCCAGGAACAAGAATGCGAGTGGCACTACCAGAAGGGTAGGAGGAAGGCGGGGAGGAAGGGGGAACTGATCGCAATAATTGACATATAACCACACACACACACACACACCCCTCGAGGGGTTCAAATAACAGAAACCATGAGGGAAGGGAGACAGCGGTCAGATATGAAAATAATAATTTATAATTTTTCAAGGGGTCACGAGGTGGGGATGAAGAGGAGCTGATACCAAGGGCTCCATAAAAAGTAAATGTCTAGAAAAGAATGATGGCAACATATGGACAAATATGCTTGCTACAATTGATGTATGGATTGTTAGAAGAGCATAAGAGCCCCCAATAAAGTGATCTTTTAATAAAAAAATAAAATAGAATATATTACAATATTTTGGATTCTCCATGAGAATGACCCAATAGAGAGAGAAAAATGCTTCCAGAGGAGAGACATAAATAATTGTAGAAACAAAGACCTTGAACTACTGAGAAAGAACGGTATCCACCTCAGAGACAGAGAATGTATCAAGCCTAGCAAAAAGTAAATGACGAAAGCATAGATGCAGGTGGCCTAAAAGATCTGGTGAAGACCAGGCCTTTTCAGTGAACTACAAAGTGAGATCAGCGTCAGATGATGCTGAAGAGGAAGAGGGGTGGGGGGGGTCTGATCACTCAGAGGAAGGCATGGAGGAGCTGTCTTGGCTCATGGTGGGTGCTTATCACAGTCACCTTGAAAGCTTACAGTGCAGGTGCGATTCTTGCTTGTCCGTCTCTCCTCAACTCCGACTTAGAAGAGGATTGTTCAGAGACTGGGAAACGCCTTCTGCAAGTCAAGGGAAATATTCCCTCAGCATGGAAACATCTAGATAAGCACTTGAAAAGGCTATACAAAGGCTATTCCCTCCCCTCGAGTCAAAAGTATCAATAAACTTTCCTGTATGACTGTTGAGATGGAAACTGGCAAGTATGACCCGATTTCCCCATTATAAGACGTGAAGGCAATGTTTCATTTTCAATGTACCATGTTAAGAGTTCTTAGTTAGGGAAACGAGGACTCACCCCTAAAACTCCATAATCCTCCTTGACAGCTCTACAGGACTTTCCTTTAACTTTTTAAATTACATACTTGTATACGAAGAAAGCTATGGCGGGGTGTGTGTGGGGAAATCAAGAGAATTAGGGCCAAGATTGCAAAGAAAACAAATAAAAAAGCAAAGGAAAGGTATGCATTATTGGATGCTGAAAACATTATTACTTGCAAGTAGTAAGGAATTTGCCCAAGTTTATGTCATCAATCCTCCCATAAATACTAATAGAAAAGAAACCATTCCTTTTCCACACTACAGATGTGAAAAAGGAGCTCTAGTGGTGCAGTGATTAAGCACTTGGCTGCTAACCAAAAGTCAGTGGTTAGCACTCAGTGACACAAGATGTGGCACTCTGTGGCATTATTCTTATGAGGATAAGAAGCACATCCTTGGAAACCTAGTGAGGCTGTTCTAGCCTGTTCTGTATGGTCTCCATGGGTAAGAACAGATGCAATGGCAACAGGTTTGGGGTCTATAAATGTGAAGAGAGCAACAACGAGAAGAACAAGTGTCAAGTTTCCAAACCTATTATTATTGCCCGAGGAAGTTGTAATGAATTGTTCTTGAAAAAGAGAGTGTAGGGCTCAATCCTATCAACAGTGACTTCCTTTTTCTTTTTCAAAAACAAAATAATATTGCTAGAATAATGTTCTGTTATTGTACAGTTTCCACAATGTTCCCATTACTAAAATAAAGTTCTATAATAACTTGATTTTACTTTGCATTATCTCCAGCACATCCTGGCTCTAGTCAGTCAGGTGATCTGATCCTGATCCCCCTGGGCTTGTGCACACAGACACCTACAATCACGATGAAAAAGATCCTGTCTTCATTTTTCTGTTTTCCGAATTTCCTTCAGAAATCAAGAAGTCATTTCCTTGGGAACTCCAGAAGTGTTCATTTCTGCCTTGTGCTTTTCTTCTGGCTTCTTGAGGGTAAGAACAATGTATGGCTCTTTTACTATATTCCTACTTTACGTCTAACTGAGCCGGAATGCAGCAATGAAAGGGGCGGCTCTGTTGCAATGACCAGCTATCAATTGCCCAGAAGAGTTACAGAGACTTACGGTTCCATCTAGAACCTGATCATTGTGTCTGGATCTAGTGCTAAGCCACTCTGTGACTCACAGAACATGTAGACTACCTGCCATCGAGCATAGACCTCCAAAAAGTACTTCACCCCTATGATGCAACCTATTTATTAATACTGTGGTACCCATACAATTGGGATAATATTTCTAAGGCTAAGTGAAATAAAACCTCATGGAAGCAGCAGTTAAGAGATCAAATGACAAATTGCATTGGGTAAATCTCCTGCACAAGACCGCTTTAGTGTTGAAAAGCAAGGATGTTGCTTCGAGGTCTAAGCTGTGTCTGACCCAGGCCATGGTGTTTTCAAAGATCTCCTATGCATGGGAAAGTCTGACACTGAACAAGGCAGACCACAGGAGAATTGGTGCCGTGGAATTGTGGCGCTGGTGAAGAAGACTAAAATACCACAAGACTGTCGAAAGAACATCTATCTGAGAAGAAGTGCAGTCAGAAAGTTCCGTAGGGGCAAGAGTGGAGCGACTTCTCACGTACTTTGGACATGTGGTCAGGACAGCCCAACCAGTCCCCAAGAACCCTGACAAGCTGGACTGACGCAGCGGCTCCAGCACTGCGTTCAAACGGAAGAGCAGTGTTGAGGCTGGAGAGGGCCTGGGCAGCGGGCAGTGAGTGTCTTTCTGTGTGCCACCAGGGTCATCATGAGCTGCCACCCGCTGAAAGCCACCAAACAACAACGGGAACAGACGCCTGCACGTTAGGAAAGGGGTCGTTGTAAAGACGTAGTATTGCTACGTTGACTCAGAATTTAGACTTGTTACCATTTCTAAAGAAACGAACAGCTATTAAAACAAAACGTGAATTCTTCGGGACGTGCTCCATGACTCCATGTTTGAACTGCTCTGCTCTAAAGAAACACTTCACCTGGGTGATCTCATCAAGCCTTGAGGTGTTAAACACCAGGCTGATGGAGCCCCGGTGGTGCCCAGGTGGTAAGAGTTCGACTAAATGGTTGGTGGTTTTAACCTGCCAGCAACCCTGCAGGACGAAGACCTAAAGACGTACTTTCCTGAAGATTAAGGCTCAAAACCACTATAATGCAGCCTATTCTGTCACATGGAGCTGTCAGAGGACACGACCTGGTTTAAAGCTGGGACAGGTCTGAACCGTGGTTTTATCCTTCCTCCAACATATTCTGTCTGTATTTTGAGCAACTAATCCACTAAGCCATAGGAAGAAGATTGCCACATCGGGGTTGAAAGAGGAGTCATTCTTATGTGAATGACTCAGCCTTGCTTAGTGATACTGCCGAGCATTTGAAGCATTTACAGATGAAGCTTCAGTAT